ACACACACACACACACACACACACACACACACACACACACACACACAGTTTGAAAAGTGCCTAAAAAAGAACTCCACTGTGCCAAATCCCCTGAGTTTCCCATTTTTTCCCACTTTCCAAAATCTCTATGCAGAGCCTGGCTTATTTTTTTTCTCTTTAATAAGGAAAAACTGTAGTCAAATTTATTTTAAAAATTAAAGACAAGGGCCTCGAGAACTGATTTAGGGTTATGATTTCTTGCTGTGCAAGAACATGACAAGAGTTTAGAACTCAGCACACACAAAACAAGCCAGGTAAACTACACACACCCGTGCCCTCACTAGGCCTTGCTGATTTCAACCTAGCTGTAAGTTCAGGGAGAGATCCTACCTTAAAGGAATAAGTAAATGACCTAGAGAGATGGTGAAGAGGTTAAGGAAGGAATAAGTAAGGATGATAGAGGAGGACACTCATTACCCTCTTTTGGTTTCCATATGCAAATATAGACAGACAGGCACACAGACAGACAGACAGACAGACACACACACACACACACACACACACACCCCTAAACATCTACTCACACAGACACATGCACAGTCATATAAACACACTAACAAAATAAATGATATTTTTAAAAGCCTTAGGGAGAAACCAGCAAAAAAGAGGTGGAAATAAGTTTCCCTCTGCCTTCCTTTCATGCTCTGTAACAAGGAAGAACAGAGTCATGGCATGCCTGGGTGTGCATATTTGGTCTCACAGATGCTAAATGAAGGGCACACGTGCATAAGTTTGGTGCCCGTAGAGTCCAGAAGAGTGGGTCAGCTCCCTGGATGTGGAACTGCAGGCAGCTGTGAGTTGCCTAACATGAATGCTGGGAACTGAGCCCAGGTCCACCGCAAGAGGTGCCAGTGCTCTTTACCACTGAGTCTTCTCCCCGGCTCCAGCCTTACGGCCTGTAAGCTTTCCCGGAGTCCACCAGCGTATTCTTGCTGGTCTAGTTTCCAACTTCATGGAGAAACATAATCGGTTCTTTCCTTTGTAAAACTGAATCGATTCTCTCTCAGTTACCACAACCAGGAAGTGATAAATGGCAGAGTTATCAAGCTCTTGAACGTCCACATTCACAGTAACACCGTGTACTGAGAAGAGGTTCCTTTTCACATCCGGAAAACCAGAGAATGGAATACAGGGAGCACACTGGCTTCCCACGTACTTGATAAGCCGAGTGTGTTGTCTTTAAGAACAGGGAAACCCTTTTCTTCGCATCCTCTCTTTTGGACATAGGTTACAGAGTACAATCAAGCTGGCAGACTTCAATCAGTCTACCCATGGCTCTGGAGTCCCTAACAGACACACGGAAGACAGTGTTACGGGGGAGAACTGATGTTCTAAATTTAACAGCGTCAACCACACATCTCGCTCTTCATTTTGCTCTGCTTTCCAGAGTGTTTGTTCACTGGAGGGCACATTTCATACAAATCAAATCAAATCCAAAGGGGAACCGAGAGCGTGCCAGCCATGTGGCCAAGACACTGGGTTCTGGTGTCTAATTAAAACACTGACTCGGTCGTCAAACACTTATTATGCATCTTGTTATGAGCTCTCAATGGTGGGCAGGGTAGAGGAGCTGATTTGTCTTAAGTCCAAGCTGGAACCAGTCTCCGTGGAAGGAGGTGTCTGAAGGGTTTTCACAAAAGAAAGCTACTCTGTCAAGCTTGGCTTTCCTGGATCAAAATGAGTGTGATGACTTCCGTGTGTGTGTGTGTGTGTGTAGGTCAAGGAAAAGTCTTGAGTGCTGGTCCTCAGGTAACTTCCCCTTTTAGATTGAGACCGTGTTAGCTGGCCAGCGAACTCCAGGATTCCACTGTCTCCCCCCGCCCCTCTCTCCATCACTGAGATTACAGGTGCACACCACACCTGGCTTTTGACGTGCGTTCTGGGTGTTGAACCAAAGTCCTCACGCTTGAGGCAAGCTCTTACAGACTGAGCCATCTCCTCAGTCCTTACCTTTTGATTCTCAGAGGCATTTTTGCCTTCGTATCAGTAGACAGACCCGAGTCAAGGACAAAGGCTTTTTGGTTGAGCTGGCCGCCCCTCCATCTTACCTTTCCAGCTGGTCACTCCACATCAGAGCCGAGGAGCCTGGGCGGGGCAGGGAGGTGGAGCTGGAAGCATAGCTGGTGTGGTTCCTGATCTGTGGGCAGACAGAGGTGTCAGAGGAGAGAGCTGTTCTTGGGTTCTTTACCTCAGATGATGTTCCCTCAAACATGCTGACAGGAAACCAAAGCCCACACATTGACTCGCAGAGGGCATGGTAAAGAAGCAATGTGCTTTAGATTATCTTCCCAAGACCACCACTCTCCTACCATCACGCTAAGAACGCGAGACACTCTGCTTCCTCCACATCCACGTTTGAAATGATTTCTGTCTGTAAAGTGGTTACTCAGCACTTGCTCAACCCTGAATAAAAATGTAATACACTCTGAAAACATAGTTCACTTTAATGCATTTATCGGTAACATTCTTACAAGAAAAAGCAGAATAAAATGAAGTTGTTGCAAGAAAAAAAATTATCCAGAAAGAAATGGAGTTGTTTTGCTACCCAGAGCATTGGTTTAGTTTCAAAGTCATCAAAACAGCACACCTGTGCAAAACACATGGCATTGCTTAGCCTTCCCACTCCAGCTGTGTTAAGGAAATGCTGGAGCCCGTGGAAGTGGATCCATTCTGCCTTGACCAAAGGTCAGAGAGGTCAGGCCTACTCCTATTCCTTGAAGGTTATGGCAGGAGAATTGACCCAGGGTATAACTATCTACAGGTTGTTTGGCCTAGGGTGTGATCACTGCATGTCTTGCCTAAACAACAGAATACTTAACTCAGGGTGTTTTGGGTATTGAAGAGGTAATTGCTCTGTTTGTTCTTTGTATCTTGGTAAAGAAGTCTTTTGCCTCCTCCCTCTGCTTTTGGAGTGGAGTGTATAAACCATATGGAAAATAAATGTGGACAGACTCAATATTCACTGAGTTGCCCTCCAGACTATTCTGTGTCTCTGTCTACTTCTTTTGTATCTCTGTTTTGTCTGCCTGACATCTCTAGTACACATGCTCCCCCCGGAGTGTACACACCCCATCGAGGCTGGACCCAACAGATGTTACCCCAACATGGGACCCCAACATGGAAATGGGTGAACTCGTAAGGAAAGGGAGTCTGGATGCCTATGGAATGACATCTTTCTCACAGTGCAGAGAAAACAGAAGATTGGCAACAGTGTTCATTCAAACAAAACACTGGGTCAGTGGTCAGACTGGGGAGTGAGCAGTGTGCTTTCCCATTTCTTCTGCAAGGCCCTCCCTGTCCTTGTATTCTTGTAGGGAAAGGTTCTGGCCTTAGTTTATTGCCAGTCGAATAATGGTCCTTAATTAGAGCCCTGCTTCCTATGTAAACACATTTGAGCCTGCCACATTTGTTGACCACATCCTAGCGGTGGGCAAAGTTTCAGAATCTGGTATCAAGCAGCAGAATGGGAACACTGATGTATGGGGCTGTAACAGTGTGTACTAGTCCCTGTCTGTCCATCCAGGCCTACAGCTCCTGCACCAGGCATGAACCTAACCAGAGCCACAGACTTGGAACAGTAAGGCATCAGGGTGAACACATCAGTTGTAATACGTGCACCTCCTTGGTTAGGGCAGCAGTCATGGGTGCTACCATGAGCGGGGGAGGGGGAGTAAAAACTTGCTTCCACTTCTTCCCAATTCTGTTGTAAATTCCCATAAAAATAAGTCTGACTTTGAAATAGTTCTATATTTGAATGATGGATGGTTTAACCTACTAAATGGTTTTTCAGGTAATGGTTTATCCTCCATAGTTTTCTTCTCTCAAGCATGCCCTCTGTGCCATTTCTAAGACAAATATCAGTAAGTCCTAAAGATCTGTCCGTTTTCATTGTAACCAGCTAGAACTCTGATATACTCAAGGTGCCAGCAGGTAGTTCCAGCCATCCTTGCTCCGCTCCCTCAACCTGTTGTAGGATTGGTGTGTGAAGTGAGGATGAAGGCTGTATCTTGGGAAAAACCAGGAAGGGAACAGCAGGACAAAGACACCAACAGGGTTTGAAGGTCAGTGGAGCCTCACCTCTGCCTGATCTGTAGGACAGCTCTGGACTGGGAATGATCCTCACAGCTTGCCCCACATCGGGACAAAGGTTCTGGGCCTTTCTTCTCCCACACCCATCAGCATTTCTGATCCCTCTGGCTGTACCTTTCAGTAAGCCTCTGCACAGCACACTGTACGCGGTTAGCACTGACAGGCTGAGGCTCTGTGCAGAGACAGGAAGGACTTCAGAAAGAAAGTCAGCCATCAGCCTGCACCAGATGTGCCCTCTGGCAAGTTGTGCGTAGAGGCTGTGGGAAGGCGGCCTGTTCTAAGAATGGGGCACGCTGGGAAGAGTGTCTCGTGAAAAACAGCCTCCTCTGACCACTGTGATCCATTCCTCTTCGCTAGAGGTTAAGCTTTTAGACTATGTTGAGCCACGGTGTTTAAAAGCTCATCAGCGCTTGGGAGGCAGAGGCTGAAGAGTGAAAGTGTATGGCCAGCCCGGGATTTATTTAGGGTAGGGGAGAATTATAAAGTGGAAGCAGCCTCCTGAAGCTTTCCCTGCTTTTAATATCATTTCATGTTTAACTCCTCATATGCACCGCCTCCCACGACACCTCCAAAATGGTACAGTCAACTGCAAATAGACCTCTTAGATACCTCAGCTCTCCACAGCAGAACTCAGCCTTTGTATTGACAGAGGACTTCCTAGAACTAAGCCCCTCATTCTGTCTTCCAGTAATCTCATAGGGTGGCAAAGTGTTTCCCCCACCATTAAATGCAATGTACCCATTTCTCTCTGAGTACGGGAGTGTCTTGTGACGATATATCAAGGACCAAGGTGAGACACTGAATACTACCCACCCCTGTGCATGCCAGCAAGTTGGAGGTTGACTTTTCCGTGGCAACTGTGGCAAATGTGTCAACATATCAGTCCCTTGAGGACACCTTGACACAGCCAGTGCTGGATCTCCTCCGTGGGTGGCCTGAGGAGCTTGTGGTTGCTGGAGGTTTGACTGAGGGTTACTGACACCTCTATTTGTGGATGGAAAAATAGATTACAAAAACCCTACTGAACACTCAGAGACTACTTGCAATTATACCAGACAGTAATTTTGAAACTTAACCATCATTTTACTTTCACAGGATCCCATAGAAAAAACATTGCTCCCATGACAGCTGGAAATAATTCTAGAAGACAATGTACCCTCTCCCAACAAAGTTTGTCCTCAGGATTAGGGACATCAATCAGTAATTGATTGTAATGAATGTAGGGTTGGGGATTGGGGAGAAAATTATGTAAACTCAGGGATATCTCTAAAAAAAAAGAAATTGGATGGGATAATAGATCAGTGTGAGCTTACTCAAACTAATAATAATAGTGAGTAATGAGTGAATACTTGTGAGTTATTATTTATAGGCAATTTACATTGGTATAGATTCTTGTATTTTGATACAAGCTTAAATTATATTGAATATACTCCTATTTTTGTCTACAATATTTGTATATGTAGGCAAAGTTACTTTATCATTTTGTATGAATGCATGCTTCTACCTCTGCCTAAGACATTTTGTATATTGATACAATTTTAGAATACATTTATCATATTGCACTATACATTTCTACCTCTGATCAAGATACTTATACATTGTTTACATTTTGAGATCACTGTAATCATTTGTTGCACAGTTGTTTAAAGATTATTTAATATTCTAATATGAAGTCTTAGTCTTTAAGTTATGTAGGTCTTAAGATTCATAGGTCAATAGTCATCCATGTTTGTCACACTTATAGTTAGACCAATCAGGCTCTTTAGATACATAGAGCTTGTATTCTGCATAGATGGGTAATCTTCAACCACTTCAAAGAACTTTAGAATATTGCATTTAAATAACTTTGGGTTCTGTTGACATGAGACACGATTGCTCCTGGCAACACCAGTCTATTCCCAAGAGAATGTTGAGCACTGAAGACACTCCACTTGGAACTTGTTTTCTTTTTGGCAAAACTGGCCTTTGGGCAAGGAATTGTGCCTGCATTGACCACTGGCAAAATGTGCAATGTCCGGACAGAACAAGCAGGATACAAAAAAAAAAAAAAGACTGTCAAATCTTGCCAAGACAGGGTAAGACGGTTTTAAAAAATTTCCTACCTCTAAAAATGGTCTGTCAGTTACTCTAGGCCTTAGCCAAAGTTGGTTGCTCCACCATTGCAAATGAGACTTTGGGTGATTGCCCAGGTAGCCAGTTGTCTCTGTCATTTATTGCACATTTTGGAAGTTGCTTGATTGCACTTCCTGCTTAGTAATATTATTTTCCTTCTCGGGTCTTCGATGGGGTTGAAGACTACATAGTTTTCTTCATACAAGTTGACTACATACAAGTCATGATCAAATTATTTATAATACAAGATTTAAACTCTTTATGATAAGATAATTATTAAGACATTTATCACATGGTTCTTGCTTAATATTGTTTATACTGGTTGTAATTCTAATTTTTATACCTGATATTTGTTCTTATTGTATATAATTTTGTAAAAGACTTAGAATTTTCTTATTTAAACTAAAGGGGGAGGTTCTGTAGGAATTCCTACCTCCAGTAGCCTTTAAGTTACTTGGCCACTTGGATGTGGCCTCTTATACTGTATATGCCCATGTAAAGTGCACATCTGGCCTCTTTTCCTGCTGTGAATTTTGGTTGCTGTTCCGCGTTCCAGCAGAGGACTGTGATCTGTGAGTGTACTCCTAAATAAATAACCCTCTATTACACTCAATTCTGAGCTAGTGTGGGATTTCTTTTAATCATCCTTCTTCATATTTGCACTGCATCTGTGGGCAGACCCCTGTGCTAGTCTGTCTGTGAGGGCCCTGTCTGCCTGGACTCCTCAACTAACTGACTTATTCCATCCTGGTCCTGACATCTCATGGCTGGGACAGTCTACACAGAGACCTCAGGACTCATGTAAACATTAGCTTCATGTTTTGAAGAGGCCAAGAGGAAACTTGGTAGAATTCTCTCCCATCGTCTCTAGTCACCTGTATTCTTACTACAATTATGCTCTCCCATAGCTGCCCATCCCTCTTCTGCCTCTTGTTC